GAAGGTGTCCCTGCTGATGGCAGGGGGGTTGGAACTGGATGATCTTTAAGGTCCCTTCCAACCCAAACCATTCTATGATTCTATAAGTGTGAATTGTATGATCAGAGGCTGCTTGTGCTGGACACCCCTTCTGTCGTGGCGGATGGCACCTGGGTTTGTTCAGTTTGTGTTCGTCACGTGAGGAATTCACAGGTATGGCCTGGCTGGGATGTGTGCTGCTGCCAAGGAAGTGGATTTATGGTCACGTTGAGCGCTGTTTTGCTCACCTGAATAAAATGCAGCTCGGGTGAGGTGATGTGGAGGAGGTTCAGCCTGTGGCTCCTTGGGCAACTGTCTGTCCTGTGTTGGGCCACGGGACTGAGGCCTGTGTACATCCCTTTCCTTGCACTGCTCATGTAGTGGTTTAAATACTTCAGATAAACGTTTTTGGAGTAATAGTTATAGGCAAAGCTAAATAACAGAGATCATGGAGGCTCACCTGAAGTTGAGTAGGCTGAGAAAATGGGAATACATTTCTGTGTCTGATCTTGTGACAATGGAAAGGAATGGCTCATGTGTTATAAATAAAACTGATTGATTCTGCTAAGGAAACCATGGACAGCATACCAGAGTGTCACTGTGCCTTACAGAATGATAGTGGACAATAAAGTTAAAGGACTTTTCCTAATGAGTAGCAAGCTCTGCTTTACTTTTGTCTGTTTTTCTTTTTTTTTATTTTTTTTATTTTTGAGTTTTGGCCGAAGAGAACAGGTTTTTCTTGCCTTGAAAACTCTGTTGGAGCAGCTTGATATGTAGACAGCTTGCAGTCTGACTTGTATCTCACATACTCTTTGTTATTTTTTTCCCCTCAAAACCAGATTATTTGGATAGACACAGACAAATTGGGGAAGAACTGAATTTAATATTTCTTTTTCTGCTATTAAATGAACTGAGATAGTATGTAAGAAATGCATAAGAAGGGAATTTCACAAGAGAAGGTGGCATTATTTGCAGAGTAGTTATGTGAATGTATTTGGTCTGAGAATTTCAGGTTCTGTTACTAAAAATTAAACATAAATAAAGAGAAGGTGCCAGGATGTATTTCTAATGGCAGAGGAGAAGGAACCTGTAACTTTTGTCTCCCACAGATTTTTATAGCACTGTCTTTCCTTGCGAGAGGAAAGGAGGTAGGGAGTGGAACACTGTTACTAGGTGAGTTTTAGCTGGGTAGCTGGCTAATATCATAGGTAGTGTAACTACAGCAGCATGAATCTCTGTGTAACGTGCTGCCACAATATCCAAGTACAGCTTTTGACTGTTTTTAAGGTGAAAAGTGAAGTAGGATGCAAGTGCAGTTGGTGAATAGCTTCTGAAACTCAGAAATTAAGTGTCCTGGTTATGAGCTGGGCTCAATCTTTTCTGATATGGATAGAAGATAAAAAGATTTTCTTCTTTCCTATGTGTCTGCTGCCTGTTGTGTACGGGTGGGATGTCTTTCAAATAATCTTAGATTTAGCTGAGGTGAAGCAAGGCTGGAGGCAGTCACCCCTAAATTTTATTTCATTAGTGAATTTGTTAAAAGTTATTTTTTCTTTAATTTTCTTTTTTTTTTAACAAAGTAATACAGTTTTAGGTGAAAGGAGGACTTTGTCTAGAGGAACAGAAGTCAAGATGTCACCACAAGTCAGTTATCTGAGCATCAGGACTGTTAAGACCTGTATGGATACGAAAGCTCCTCCGTGTTTTTGTTGACAGAAAGAGCCTGTGGTGGATATTGGGGGTCTGTATCTTTCTCTAGACTACAGTGAGTGTAGCTTATACACATGGGTGATTTAATCTCAGACTAGTTAGCTTGTAAATATTACAAATGATATAGTAGCAAAGATTTTAGGAGAGGTTAACTTCTGGGATATTTGTCCAGCAGCCCCGGTGTGTTTTGCAGCCTGTGAGGAGCTGTCTGCAGTTACAGCTGTAACGCTACCACAATTCTAGTTGTCTCGAGTTGTCTGTCTAAATTAGAGTTACAGCAGTTACCCCAATGGCCATACATTCTGTTTTAATAGAGAAATTTGCTTCAGCTATGAGAAGAACATACTCAGTGTACAAAATGAAGTTACTACTTGTATGTCAGTTTTCAGGGAGCGTGTTTTTTTTTCTCCCTAATGATTTTAGAATTAAGGAGGATCCATTCCCAAACTTTGAGTGGTTGACTCATCATATGACCTTGGGCAAGTTACTCATCCACCTTGAGCTTCAGTTTTCCCAGTTGGAGTCTTAAGTAAACAATGAGAAACTTGGTGAAAGCCAAACATGATGGAGTTGAGGCTTCCTCGCTTTCTGTTGTTTTGCCTTTTTCACAAAAAAAAAAAAAAGAGTAAATTTCTGTTATTCTTTCAAGCTGGTGTTTGAAAAATTCACTCTAGATCTTCTACTCCAAGCTGTAGACTTAATGTTTGGATTCAGAGAATTCAAGTTTTAGCTGCCTCACCTCATCCTACCAGGTCTTGTGCTGATGTTACTACTCCACTGCTATTTCCATGAACCATCTAGAAGATCATAGTCTCCTGGGAAGCTGCTGTCTGTCTGTCAGATAAAAAGATGATTTTGTTGCTACCTATGCAGGCATTAAACGAGTAGTGTTTTTTTTTTTTCTGAAGATCAGCTAGCTGTAGACTGTTTAAAAAAAAAAATTACAGCAATTAACTGTGAACCAGTCCTTCTGTCCTTAAATCAAAGAATGCTGTTGCCCAGGCAAGTGCTGTAAAATTCTTCTGATAATTTATGCTGGCTCTACATACAACCTCCTGCTCGAGTGCTGAGATCTTGAGGTTTCCCCTGTTTGTTCTTGGATGAGACAGTTTTCCCTGAGGGTGAGTGGACTGCATTGTGGAGACTGCAAGTAACATTAAAATAAGCATACTTGTCTTGAGGTTTGTTTAATGAGCTGCTTTTCTGCCATCTGAGAAGAACTGTTCAGAGAACCACGCTTCGGCTGGGTGGCTCTTGGTGGGGATTCTCCTCGTGTGTCCTTCTGGGATGCCCAAAGGTCAGGGAGCTGGTGGCAGCTTTCCCTCTTTAAGTGCCCCACTCTATCTGGGCAGCAGCTCTGCCCTACGAGTTTGTCTGTGTTGGTGTAGAGATTCCAGCACAATCAAAGCACATCTTTTTGAGGGCAGGAAAAGTTTAGAGTCACCTTTGATGTGTGCATGAATTCTGTTTTCTGATGTTTTTGAGGTCACTGGGAAAGAACTTTATATTTGAAAGCTTGCTGCCAGGAAAGAGAAGTTGAACAAAAAGCTCTGAGAACTCTGGTTGTAAAGCTGTTGCTGTACCTTCTGGTCGCTTCTAGGTGGCACTCCAAGAAAAAGAATGTGCATTCCCTAGCTGTGAGAAGCCAACTGTTGAGCTGCTTGGGGCTCTTGGTGGTCATAGTGCCGAGAGGAGCAGCTGGCAAATACTCCAGGAGAAAGGAGGAAAAGGAATAAACTTACTGTGCTGTGACAGAACTGACTGAACTCTGAGTTGTGTTTTCCATAGGTGTGAAACAGTGGGTGCTTGGTGACAAACTGCTTTTGCTTTAGTGTCCAAAATGTGATTGTGGACAAAATTTATAGACATAGTTCTCCAAAAATTATAATCACAAGAGAAATTATTCTTTTTTTTTCTCTGAATATTTAAATGTGAGACTGCTTTATAAAGCAGCCTTGCAGAGCAATTATACTGTGTGTATGTGGGCCAAATAAAATACAGGTTTTTATTTACATCTAAAATTTGAATCTTAGCATTCTTCAATTCTTTTTTTAAATACTGAATAAGAAAAATCAATATATTCCAGTTCACAGCCATTTCTCAACCTTTTGTTGTTGTCAAAGTATATGACAGCTTTTGGTTTTGTTTGCAGGAGGAAGCTCTGTTTGATATAGTAAATATTTTTGAAAGTTTACCCTAAGAAATTACAGTAAGGAAGTAAACTCATGTGATGACTTATAAAACAAATCTTATCAAAGCAAAGATGTAAACTTTTCTTCAACCTTTCTTTCTAAAGTGTTTTATTCAGAGCTAGAAAATATTCTGGTAAGAAATAAAAATCCTAATCTGTGAAACATAAAACAAAATAACCAAAACCTTTTCTTTTTTCCAGCAGCTCCATGAGACTGTGAAAAGAAAACTTGACAGTGCTGCTTCCCCTCAGAATGGAGACCAGCAGAACGGCTACGGCGATGTATTTTCTGTGTCCAAGAAGCTGCGTCGTGACGATGCTCTTGGCGGGGTGAGTGGTTCTTCCAATGGAATGCCCCCTGTGTCTCCACTCCATCATCTCGACAAGAAATCTGGTGGTGGAGATACTTTACAGCTCAATGGAAAACATCCTATGGGGCTAGATGGCATCAGCAAGAAGTGTCTTCCAGATTCCAGCCTGCAGATGAATGGAGGTGGTGATGCTGATGACTCATTTCCTCTCAGTTTGAACAAAGAGCTGAAGCAGGAGCCTGTAGATGACCTTCCATGTATGATTGCTGGAGCAGGGGGTTCTATATCTCAGAATAACTTGATGCCTGACCTTAATCTTAATGAGCAAGAATGGAAGGAACTTATTGAGGAACTTAATAGATCAGTGCCCGATGAAGACATGAAGGATCTCTTTAATGAAGACTTTGAAGAGAAAAAAGATGCAGATTCTTCAAATTCAGCTGCACAGACTCCATTGCCACAAGATATTAACATAAAGACTGAGTTTTCCCCAGCACCCTTTGAGCAGGAACAGATGGGATCTCCCCAGGTGAGATCCACTTCATCAGGTCAAGCATTTATTGGTGCTGCTTCTGTACCTGTAAGTGCCGCTTCTCCAGCGGTTGGTAGTTCTCAGGCTCTGTTTCAGCCTTCTAGTCAGTCAATGACTGAAAATCCTAATCAGTCCATGATGCAGGCATCAAACCACTCTCAGAACGTCCAGAGGCCTCTCCCCAATGTGTTGTTACCTGGGAAGGGCACAGGAGGTGCCAAAGAAATGTCTTCTGCTCATCAACTTCAGCAGATTGCTGCCAAGCAGAAGAGAGACCAGATGTTGCAGAACCAGCAGCAAGCTTCACAAGTCCACCCAACGAATCAGATGTCTACGTGGCAACAGTCTGGGCCTTCTCATAGTCCACTGGCAGTCCCATATACCATGGAAAATCCCACCAGCCCATCGGTTTACCAACCAGACTTCAACAATCAGAAACTCATGATGCCTAATTTGGGAAATAAAAGCTCACCGAGAGCTGGAGGCAATTACCACGTGAACATTTTGGGTCATCAGCAAAACAGCTTGAACCAGAACCCTGTGAATAGCCAAGGCTCTATGCTAGACTATGGGAACACCAAACCTCTTTCACATTACAAAGCAGAATGTGAACAGGGAGTTACAGTACCCGGTCAGAACAAGACTCCCATGTTGGCATACATACAGCAGCGGCAGCAGGCACCGCTCTCTCACGTCAGCGATGAGCAAAATGGGATGATCCTGTTGAAACCCAAGTCTGGAAACATTGCCTACCGATTACCACACAGCCAGGTGAGTGTTCTGGGGCTTCATACCTTTGTTTAGTGGCAGATTTCAGGTTTTGCCAGAGGATGTTGGGTTGGTAAGGCTGGAGTACAGATTACTGGATATTTTTTCAAAACAGTTGCTGGATGATTTTAAAGAAGAAAATGATAATATGCAATAAGCTGAGACAAGAATCAAGAACACTTATTTTCTGCTGGGGGAGGTTTTTAATACTCTGTTCTAGGTCATGTGGTAATGTGTGATTTCCAGCTTAATATACTTTGTGGGCAACAAATTATGACACGCTTCATAGAAGCTTCTACTTACAAAGATAAATAGATGCTTTGTAACTTTTGCCTAAAATAACTCGGATAAAACTGTCGTGTTAAACAGTGTTCTCAAAGAAGCTTTGATTTCTTTACCTTCTTTTAAGTCCCTGTCTTGTGTCAGAGTTGGCTTACTATAAAAAGACATGCCTTCAGTTTCTTCTTTTTTGAAGAGGAGTGGAAGCAGGGGCTGTTTTCCTCATTTCTTGGGTGTTCCTTGGGGCTTTTCAAATATAAGAATTTGTTATGGGTTAAGTCTCTGGGGATTGGGGAAGCATGGGGTAGGAAAGAAATATATCTTTAAGAATTAATAATAGTAATATTTATTTGCTTGAAGCAATATGCTTCAGGCTTTCCTGTAATGGAAAATTCCAGGTTGTGCTTCTTTGCCTTGTATATAACTGATATCACAGGTGTGCTGCAGGGTGGAAATTTATGTAGTGGATGGAGGTATAGGCTCGTTTGGGTTCTGTAACACGTGCCTGCGATGGCTTGTTGAGAAAAAAAGTCTTTGTTAGAAGAATTAAACCTCCTCTAGCAAAAACAGTTGGAAATCCAGCTCTAGTAATATGTAATAAGAACAACTTAGCACAGCATTGTCTGTATTTGTCTCATGATTTCTTATGAAACTGCAGAGGGTGAGAACCAACAGTCGAACCCATAAGCTGAATTCTAAACTTGAAACTAGTATTTCTTTGCCTAATTAGAGATGAGGCTGAACTGTGTATAAAAAATGATAAAAATTGTCAAATTTCAAATGGATTTGCTGGTACAAAGAAGACAATATTAGATCTTCAATTATAATTGTTCCATGGTTTTGCTTATCCCAAGTAGCAATCTCCAAAAAAAAAAAGCAGCCTTGTGAAAAATTAATAATAACAGGTTTATCTGCAGTACTATTTTTCTGTGTGGAATATGGTGATGGTCGGGCTGCTGGAAAAATACATTAAGACTCATTTTGATCAGTGAGAACCTTCTTCCCTTTCCACCTGCAAGTAGTAAATACTCTGATATGGAAAGTGTTTGAAAAGCTGCTACCCAAGTAAACTGAAGCTGCTGTGGCTGAAGTGGTGTTTGTAACTGGCTGAGCAGAAACACACAGGAGTATACTCACCTGTTTGAGCTGGAATTTGGGAAGGACTTTGAGACTGAAGTTAAAGCTTCTATTCTTGAACATTTTAGAGCTTCTGGCCTTAATGCTAAACTCTCACTTCTGTGTCTGACACTTTATAGTTGGGTTTTTTGCTGTCTTTAGCTGAACTGGAAACTTTATCACACTTTGCCTTTTCCCTTAGAAGCTTCACGAGTGAAGAAGCTGTTGCACAAAGATAACAAAATATAAGGAACTGATCTGATTTTTATTAAATAGTAAATGCACAAATGAGCAATAATTGCAATTTCTGTTTTTCAGAGATGTGTTATGATTCCCTTCCCCACGTAGATTTTGTTTATAAAGTCTCTCTCCTTTGTCCTGTAAAATGATAAAAACAGTGCAAATTGTGGTCATCACCATGGAAGTGCCTTTCCTCATCTGTGTAACTACGTACAGTTGCTAAATTCTGGAGAGCTAACCTCTTTCTGGGTTTTTTTTGTATTCTACAGGATCAGAACCCTTCTGCTAACGTTCCTCGTGTTCCTGTTTCTGTCCCGGGCCCTGGCGTGAGTGCCCAGGCTCCCAATGTCACCATGGCAGGTAACCACAGCAACCCACCTTATCTCAGCAATCAGCAGCAAGCAGCAGTCATGAAGCAACACCAAATGCTGATGGACCAGCAGAAGCAGAGGGAGCAGCAACAAAAGCACTTGCTCATGGAGCAACAGAAGCAGCAATTCCTCATGGAGCAGAGACAGCAACATCTTCTGGCAGAGCAGGTGAGAGGGACCAGCAGTCTGGTTATTTTCTTTGCACCAGTTTGCTTTGGTGGACTGAAACAGCATTTGAGATCTTGTGAAATAGTTATCACACCAGAATAAAGAATATAAACTGCAGGGTGCTTTGGTATCAAAATTGCTGTTTTATGGTTAAAGGAACCCAAACACATCACACTTGGTTGCTGAGGCTTTTTTTTTTCTGTTGTTAAAAAGCACTGTGGTGAATGAAAAGGTAAACCAGGTAGAATTCTGTAGTGTGAAAATGCAAGACAATACCTACATGAAGAGAAGGTATCATACCAGCAGTGGTGTAATTCTTTGTGAAAGAAGAAAGGCAAATGGAATCAGAGCAAAAAAATAAGGTTGGGATACCATTGATGTGGTTTGTAGAGCTTTAAAAATGGAAGTAATGAGCAAGCTACTCTGTCAGCTCATTGTGCCTTCTGTCTGTTCCCTGTGAGATCTGCAGCAGTTCACGTTTCCAATGTTAAAACTTCTTTCACTTGTTTATTTGGGAAAAATAATTAGACATTTGCATCCAACTTACATCTTATCCTGCCAAAAGAATTTAACTCTGCAGTCCATCAGACTGCAGAAGGCTGCTTTAGCTTCTCTCAAGGAAACGGACTCCTTGTGTAAACCTTTATAAACTTTAAACCTTTTGTAAATGTTTCAGCTGGGAATCTGCCCAAAGAGCCTTATTTGCATCTTTGGTGCTTTTCTGCATGTTTTAAAGTCCATGCAGGCACGTTCCAGGCACTGGCACTGTACATACAAAGAGATTATCAGTATCTGGTATGGAGGAAGAGGAAGATGAGTTTTCAGAGAAGGTTTGGGACCTGGGGAGAACCTCATATTCAGATCTTCTGGAGGAAGTGTAATGATCTGTACTGCTGAAAAGTTTTGTCTTTGGAGATAATGGGTGGGGGGAAACTGTTGTCTTTGGGGATAGTGGGGGG